CTACAATTTTATTTCTATTTATAATAGTATAAAACCTTTTTTTTCTTCTATATAATCCTCCCCGTAACGCCCTTTCCTAATTCCCTTCCTCCTTCTTCCATATTATAACCTCCCTTAAAATAGCTTCCTCTAACTATTATTAGCCTAATCCAATTAATTTAACTTCTAATATAGAAATTTCTTCCCGTAAATTATCCTTAAACTCTACGTCCCCGGCGTATTTAGAACCTATAGCCCTCCTTCGTATCTTCCGTAATCTTTTTAATTTTATAGTTCTTTAAAGCCGGTATTATTTCTTCTTTTATTCTTCTAATTTATATATTAACCCAATTAATATTATTCGTAAAATTCTTTACTTTTACTATATTTTAAGTTTAATTACCTTCTTGAAGACCGGCAATAGACCTACTTCTACCGATATTTTCCGTACAGTTATTATCAATAAGGTTTATTATATTTCAGCGTTCGGTAAATTTCTTATTTTCCTATTTCTCCTTCCTTCGCTCTTAATTTAACTCCTATATTTTAATTACCGGTTTTTGAAATATAATCTATATTTATACCGCCGGTAAATATATATTAGATATTCCTATTAGCCTTTATAATATTCGTGATATTATTTAAGTAGTAATTATTATTATATTATCAGGCGGTTAGTCTAGGTTTAAAAAAAAATTGGAATCCTTTATTCGTATTACTAGTAATTTTATCGATCGTATATATATACGCCTAAAATAGAACGATTTGTTTCTTAATATCTATAATTTTCCTTATACTTTATATTTTAGCATTATCGACTTTTAATAGAAGGATTACCATAAGTTAATTATAAGGGATGTCTATTATAATTATATCCCTTCCTTCCCTAATAGTAACGTTATAAACCCGGTCCGGATTATTTCTAATTCTAATAGTAGTATTATTATTCCTATATATATTGTATTTAGTAATAGTAATACTACTATTCCTACTAATATTAATATTATTGGCGTTTAGGTAGAGGAGAGCTCGCGAAAACGTTGAAACGCGGGTACTTGGTCGACGATAGCGATAAAATCGTTTTTGATATTAGAATTGTGTTTAGAACGTCCGATTACCCCCCTCTACAATGCCGTATTAATCGCACATCGAAAGCGTAGGTATCGGGGCGACCGGAAGCGTTGGGGGCGGGTTAGCGTCGAGCCGATACATACCCGGGGCGACCGGAGCCGATACGATGATAATAATACCCCGAGCCGGTATAGAGCCGGTAGAAGCTTTGGAAATTTTAAACCTATTTTAGGAAGAATAAGAGAAATTTATAAAGGAAGCTATAAATTTTCTTAGTATTAATAGCCCGCCTACTATCCGGGCGGTATAGGTTAAAAAACTTTTCGAAATTGTAGCGGCTACCCTATATACCCGAAACTAGAGCCTTCAAACTACTAATAATAATACGAAATAATTGTAGGATAATGTTAATAAATTAAAGAAAATAGTTATTAAAATTATGAAAATTTAGAAATCCCCCCCTCCGAAATCTTAAGCCGCAATTATTATAAGCCCGAACGCCCCCCCTACAAGTACAAAAAGACCCCATCTCATATTAATAAACACTTAAATTATTATTCCCCTCCGGGCCGAACGGTATTTAATAATAAAATTGAATAGAAAACCCCTATTAATTAATAAAAAACAACGAATAATAGTAAAAACTATTAATATAATTAATAAGAAATACCCTAAAGCTAAAGCTAAGGTAGTAATAAAATTATACTTTAATAGAAATTCATATAGTAATATTTAGTAAGGAAGGTAAACGTTAAAATCTTAAAAATTAAGTTTAAGTAATATATATCTTCTATTAAAATATTATAATTACTTTTAAAATAATTTCGGTAATAGCCTACGGCGTATTGTAGGTACTTATTAACAATTTAAAGTCCGAAGTATTAGCGAAGGGTTTATCCGAAAAAAATAGTATTAATATTATCCGGGCGAAAATATAGCGAAGGAAATATAGGAGTGAAAGGGGCTCCTTACTATTTGAAGTATTAATAGTAGACGATAGAATATATTTAACGAAGGACTCCCTCTTTTAAATAGGTAACGCCTTCTATTACGAATTTTTCGAAAGAGATATAATCCCTTAATAATATTATAATTATTAGGAATTTAATTACCTAAATTATTTCTACCCTAATAAAAAAAAAGTATAATACCCTTACTATATTGAAAAGAGATACCCGGGCGCGATTATAGTAGAATCCGAAGCTAATTGCCCCTCTAACTAATAGTCCGAACTTAAGAAGTGCCTCCTTTACAATTATAAAGGATATATTGTAATATCGAACGAATATTTACTCGTAAAAACTATACAAAATTATATTATAATAATATTTATAGAATAATTATAAAAATATACTTTATAATTCATACCGATTATAATCGACGAAATACCGGCCTTAAATTAAAATTAAAATTATTAAGAGATTATTTAAAAGGCCCCTACTACCCTTTAACGGGTTCGCCCTAAAATAGATAATAGTAATGTTAATATTCCTAATACTTTATTCGAAGATTTAAAAGCTTAATAGTAGGAAGTCCAATTTATTAAAAAGTATAGTACTTATAAGAAGGAGTATTAGTTACTTAGGGCTCGCTTCGAGAAGGTACGTACGAAGTAGTAACGACGGATTATTAGTATAATTAATACTATACGAAGGTCGAGTCCTCGATTATATTAAAAGTCTATTAAACCCCGATTATTAATTTAATAAATTTAAAGATCCTCTATTAGAATATAATAGAGTTATATAATAAGATAAAGATTATATTCGAAATAGAAGACCGATATAATATTATAATAATATAGGAGCTAAGCCGAAGTATAGTTATAGGAGGTATACCCGATACTAGGGCATCCTACTATTAGGCGTTGGACAACGCTAATTAAGGACGTATAGTAATATATATTAATAAACGCTTCGTAACCGAACGGTAGGATTATAAATAGGGAAATAATTAAACAATAGTATAGTTTAGAAAGGGAATTAAAGAAGTACAGGTATAATTAATATACTTACTAATTTAGGATTTAAAACCCGAAGCGAATTAATAAATACCCCTAAAAAAATTATATCGAAATTAAAGGGAAGGGATATTATTATAAGCGATATAAACTTCTACTATCCGAATTAGGATATTTATAGGAGAGAGAATTAGGGTAGTAGAATATTCCTAATATTAATAGTTAATTACCGATTAATTTTAACGATATTACGTAGTAAATTAATAAAGTTAGAAAATATAATAAGAGGCGAATTTTATAATACGATAGACTACGCTTAGGTTATAGAATTACTATACGCTATATACTAAATAGTAGAAAACGGAGTATTAATCGGTTCCGATTATTAAATATAATTAGTAATTATATATATTGAAATCGTAGAGGAGCCGATGGAAACCGATGCGGAATATAATTAAATATTTATAAATATTAGAAAGGTTAAAAAATTCACTAATAAATATATTATAGTCCTGTAAATAATTTTAATAGAAGAGGAGTTGGAGGAAGTAGTAAATTATTTTATAGTTTAATTAATTAAAATTATAAATAAAATAGTATTAAGAAGGAAGAATGGCGTTGGTAGACGGGTAGATTAATAGAATAGAAATAAAATAATTCTTAGACACCGGTGCAATACTAGATCCTCAGCTCAAGCAATGCCCGGTGTATATTGAAGCGTGCTTTAGATCCACATTATGTAAGCAAGTCAGATAATGCCAAGAAATGCCAAGACCGGAGTACGGGAAGGTTCTTGGCACCCAATCCTAACTTAAGGGCACAATACTAGCCAAAGTATCACCAGATCTAACCCTTCTCGTAGGATTTCTATTATCACGTCTATAAACTCAGCTACACCTCGCAAACACTCCCAAAACGCTCTAATCAGCCAATATAATCTACTTCCAACTACTTTACTATTATTAGCCCCCCCCGGGGTGCTATAGGGACGCCCGTAGTATAGCGGTTTGCGTAGGATGCCTATAGCCGCTATTAGTGTAAGTTCTAGAGAGTTTTCGCGTTTAATTCCCTACTGTAACTATCTTTTATAAAAGTTTAGTTAGTAAATTACTAATTTCTCTTAGATCCTTCTTATCTTTAAATTTTCTGGTGTTGATTGTGTGTGGGCTATTCCGGGGAAATAGGAGATATAAGACTACCGTAAGACGTATTATCTCTCGGTACTATTGATAGTTGCTCTAAAAAAGGGTATACTATAAGGTATTCGATTAGGGTGCGCGGAATAAGTCGAGTTAAATTCCTTTCTTTTTTTACCTTTTTATATATATATATATATATATATATATATATATATATATATAAGGCGGTGGTGAGAATCAGTTATTTAAATTCTAAGTTAGTATAATTTGAATTGTAGTTAATAATAAGGGTAATGTATTGTTTTAGCCGGATGGGGAGATTAAATTTAATAGTAATAGTCTTCTTCTTATAAAGAAGTTCATTTTTGGCTAGTAGTAATATTTTAGTACTAACCTAATTAGTAGAAGTCCGTTGGCGCTTAAGGGTAAGCAAATTATAGTATTCTTCTTCTTTTTTCAATATATTATTAAGGCGCTCCTTAAGCTCAAAATTATCGTTTTTAAAGATAATTAATATAATAGTATTGGGAGTTAATGGTTAATGGTTAATAAAAGTGATAAAGAGTTGAATGTGAGAGAAAGAGGGAGAGGGAGATAGAAATATTTATACTATTAGAAATATTAGATATAAAATAAAATAGAAGGAGCAATTGCAAATACCGAGTAATAGAAGGTATATTGGGGAATATTGATTATTATTATATCTATATATATAAAGCTAATACTAGACTGGAAGTAGTAATGCTAGGTGCCTAGGGTTTTAGTATTTAAATATCCGGGATTGGAAGTTTCTTTGGTAATCTCCTTACTTTATTAGTAGCCCGTATTATAAAGGTACGATTTAAGGTTATCTATAAAATGTTTAAATCGAAGGGACTGTTAAATATAAGGCTTTGTAAAGTCTTGACTCTATTGTATGCTATATATGTAAGCCCAGTTTGAAAGTCCCTCTTTGAAATATTTAGTATAGCCATATCGAGGGTAGAGTTTTGTACTTTATGTATTGTAATAGAATATGTAATAACTAAGGGGAATTGTATCCTTTTATATTAAGTATTCCGGTGTGAGATAAAGTCCTTTGTAATTTTGAATATTGGTACTATATTGTAATACCGTTCTTAATTCAAATTAAGGAAGTACGGGGGGCTAGTATACCGGTCTATTTTGACTAATATAATAAATGGGTTATTATAAGGGAATTGTTCATTATTTATATTTTAATTGGGGAAAGTAGTATTCTAAGTAATATCGAAGATAGTACCCAATATACCGTTAATCAATCCAACTTCAGTCTAGAGATTCTTAGTAAATATAACCCGGTTGTTTAGTATTAATAGAAGTTCAACCTACAGATTATTAACTTTAGCAGGGTTAATATCTTTAGTACTAAGACCCTTATAATTAGTTTTTATAATAAGATATGGTTGTTCTAATGCTTCTATATACTTTAGATTATAAGTTCTAATATCATTATGCTTAGTGTAGATCCGAAGAGTATTAGTAAATCTATTTTGTTCCTCCTGCGGTAACCGGATTTGAATTTGAATATATAATAATTCCTAATGACGATGGGTAGGAAGGTTATTTCGTAGTCTTTCGAATGCGTTCCGAAATTCGGTTTAATTATTGTTTTGTTGGTATATAATTTATTGTAATTCGATAGTCTTATCGAAAGTAAAATAATAATTACAACCGTCTATTTTTATAACGGGTAGAACCTATTAATTATAAAATAGTGGTTTTCGTCGGACTGGCGGCAATTAATGGAAATTATTAAGTAAAAGAATACTCCTATTTTCGAATAGTACGTTTTAATATTTAGGAAAGGTTTGTTAAAATTATCAATTAATAAAATAGAATATTCGAAGTTCCAATATTAATTTTTTATTAATAATAAAATATCAATATAAATATAGTCTAGCCTATAATTAAGTAAAATCAATACTATCTAAAGTAATAATAACTACCTTTAAATTATTAGGGTTAACGTTTTTAAGTATAATAGGGAATTTAAATAAGGAATATAGAATTTAGCCATCGATATTATTCGCTACTATACCCGTTGGAATACTACGGATAATAGGATTAGTCTTTCCTTTTATTATAGTTATTTAATTGAATTTGAAAGATAAAAAACAAATAAGGTATAATTTCCCTATACCTCCGCAATTATTAATTTATAAAAGTAAAGGTAGAATACAGAAGATCCATTAATAATTATTATTATAATTAAGAATAGATTAGTAATAGGCGATAAATTAATCGAAAATAACCTTTTAAGTAGGATTAAGGGTATTAATAATTAAAGAGGTGATAGTATTAGCATTGGCCCTTAAATTAGTATTATCGATTTTTATATTATACTAATAATCCTATACTAATAGCAGTAAATTTTAATAATTTAGGTGGTTATACCAATTATATATAATATCCTAGTTCCGGAATCTAAGTATCCCGAAGTCTATATTATTATTAATTCGTTAGTAGGCGGGAACCTCTCTAACTAATACCTACTACGGTTCCCGTTGCCTCTCTTTTTTAATAGGAGGCTCGAATTCATTATTAAATTCTCTATTAGGAAGAGTACTATAATAATTGTAGGGGTGGTCTATATTGCCTATATGAACTTCTATATAAATTAGGTATATATTAGAATATATTTCTAATTTTTGGATTCTATTAAGACTTTAAATATTAAATAGATTTAATTAAGAACGATGGGGATAATATAATATTAGTTTAATTCTATACTATTTTTTATATTGGGTATTATTATTAGATTTAAAAATAGGATAGTAATTAAATATTTACTTTTTAATATAGTTTTTAAAATGTCGGTCAGTAGTAATATCGAACCGAGTAAGTTATTTAAAGTAATTAATATTCTCAATGTTATTGGGATGTGAGAGATATTTAGTATATTAATTGCGAGTTTGAACCGGTTAATTTTATTTAATAAGTACGCTTAGGTTAGGTAGTCTATCCGGATAATAATAATTTATATTAATAATTTTACGAATACTATTATTAAGGGGTAAGGTAAGAAGTAAGTAACTAATCTCCTAAGCTAATTAATTACGTTTAGTAATGAATTGGTTTATTATCTTTACTATAAAGGAGATAATGGGGTTATTGGAAGTAACTTAGGGGGTAATTTATTAAATAAGCTCTTTGAAAGTCCGCAATTACTTTTCTACTTTTGAATAGTATTTAGTAATATAATTAATAATAGTATTATAGTTCGTATATAACTAACTATCCGTATTAGTATACTATACTAAAGTAATAGTACGGTTGTAGTTATTTATACGGTTATTGTTTTGTTCCCTATCGTATAATAAATACTTTGGGTTAAGACTACGTATAAAATATACTTCTAAATAATAATTTCTAGGAAAGTAAAAGCGGCACACTTTAAATACCGGATCCTCGGAGCGGAGAGCACTTTGGTTAAACCGTTTTACGCAAAGGTAATAATTATTAGTACACTAATTATATTATTATATCCGGTTAATTATACAGAATAGAAGGTTGAAGGTAGGTAGATATTGGCCTTCTTCTTCATTATTACTAATAATAATAGATAAAGGATCTCCTTTACTTTATTAATTAACTCTTTCTAACTCCAGGTTAAAAGTAGTTATGTAAAAGTCCTATAGATTTACAAACTCTTTTCGTATATTCTTATTATTTAAATTAAGCATATTAATATACAGAACCTAATAGATACTATAATTGTGACCGCTTCCTCGTACCTAGAATTTAATATAATACTATTAATCCTCAATTCTAAATTTAGGTATTAGAATATACTTCTTAAATAATTCGAATCGTTTTTGAAGATAATAGGCAGCGATATAAGGGTTTTTTTTAGAATTCTTTCTTACAATTCTATTACGAATATTTATAGAACCAGCCTTCTACTCCTCGTAATTAGGCATATATTAAGCAAGGTTTTCCTAATAAATATTAGTAGTATTAAATATTATAAACATAACTGGCATACCCAATATTTAAATATAAGTATAAAATTCACGGCTTTTACGCATCTAATATAGCCGTATGCCCCGTATAGAGTTAGCGAACTTAATAATAGAATTTAATAGATTTTATACTTTTAGAATATTAAATTTAATAGTTTCCTTTAATACTTCAATACTAGCTAAATTATTTGTACTACTATAACCTAAATGTACGAAGAAACGGCTTTTTATATTAGCCTATTTACTTTATTAATATATTAAAGACGATAAAAAGGAATCGGTAATATCGAACAAACTAGCCATTATACTATTTAAATATATATTTAATATATTCATCGAAGTCGGTTGATTATATATAGGGTTTAATAAAGTCGGTTTTTCTATTGGAATAGAAAATTAGGAATATTAATAATAGGATACATTAAAATCTATTCTATTCCCTTATTAGGGTGTTCCATAATAGGCCAGGTTTAATAAAAGGTTAAGCTAGAGGGTATTAGCCGGGGGCGGGTCGAATTAGTATATTACCCGGGCTTTAAGCAGATTGTTCTCCCCCTAATTATTAATAAAATTACTCTATATCTACCTAATTGGCTATAAAATTAGGAAATACTACGACCTTTAGCTAAAAAGTATTATTATTTTCATTTTCTTCTTCTTTAAAATTAAAATCCTAATTATCCGGGAAATTATCAGGGTCGATCCTATAGACTATTAAATCATTATATATATTACCGTTAGGAAGTACTACTAATTCTTAGAACCGGACCTCGATAATTTTAATATCTTAGTATCTAAAGTAACTAGCTTTTAAGTAGTTAAACCAAATACAAAACTTATTTAGGTTAACTATTATAACCTATTTTATTCGTCGGGCGATATAGGGTTTATTTCTAATTTTACGAGGCCGAAGAATTATAATATCGAAGTCCCAAAGTAATAAAAGTAATTAGTAATAAATATAACTAATATTACGGAGGAAATTGATAATGTGACCGGAATATTTATACTAGGAACCTTTAATAACCTATATATTAATATAAATATATACCCGTACAATAAATTATTCTTCGATTTAATTGAGTTTTGGAAGAAAGTTGGGTATATTACCGAAATTAAAGTTATTTTTATTACTAAAATAATAAGGATCCCCATTAATTCTTTAATCGTTACAATTGTAATATATACAATAATAATTATTAATAATATACATCTCAAACTATCTTTATTTATACCGGGGATATTTTTCTAGGTTATCTTCTCTTTAAACTATCTTAAATATTTTAATTATATTGAAGTCAATATTAGGAATAGTTTTTATAGGGAGGTCTTAAGGTCCTTAATATAGCGGGTCCCATTTAAATTCAATACCGGCAAATCTAGGAAATCGTCGAAATTGTAGCGGGGAAAGTAGTACGGGTTATTTAAAATCGGGTGGAATATTTTGTAGAATAGGAGTACAATATACCCAACATTATATTAGAGGATGGGGTAATAGTGGTCTATAGTTATCGAAAGGTGGAGAGGGATTACGACAATATAAATTACAATATTCCTTTTCTTTATTATCGTCGATATCAAAGAATAACCCCTATATAAATACCCTTCGATAACGTATATAGAACTTATTCTCGAGGTCGATATTACTATATAGTGCACCTAGCTAGCAATATTTATAAAAGCTAAATTCGAGATGTTTGTTTGCTATAGCCCGGGCAATATTATATAGTAGGCAAAAGAAATAGTCGTTTGGGTCTGGATTTAAATTTGGATTTAAATTTAGATTATAGTTCTAGCCAAGGTTGAGATTGTTATTTTCTATATTGTTATCTATGTTGTAAATGTTAGTATTATATGGGCTTCCCTCCCCGCACCCACCCCATTCCCTACAGGTACCCAGTCCCACCAGATGACAGCTGACATATAATACCGGCCGTCTTTGTTAGTAATTTCGAGTTTTTTAATATCTCCAAACATGGCACAAGACAGCCATCCCTACCCAACTTATTGAAACGGTCATTATAATAATCTATTAATACTTTTTATAGTATTGAATTATTATAGACTATTCTAAATACTAACATCTAACAGCTCTATAAACTCTATCTCAAAGAGGGAGAAAGTTGACAATATCTCAATAGCTACCTCATATCTCGCCTCCTCTCTTACCTTCTCTCTTACCCTCGCCTCCCAATATCTCCCCAACTCATCATCCTCATCCCCATCATCTACTACCTCAATACAACTACACACCTCACTCTAAACACGAACACGGGCGTCACCAACATCCATCTCCTTAATACTAGGTCCCAATTCATACTAGGAATCATTACACCGTACTAAAGCTTGTATAAGTACAATATTCTTAGATTTTCTACCAATACTAGCCTACTTACTCTAGGTAGTAGGTACGAGTAAGATAGCCTTATCGCTAAACGGGCCACCCTATTTAGAGGGGCGACCCTTAGGGACTCCCTAAACTACTAAGCGAAATTATAAATATCTATCTACTATATCCTATAATATATATTAGTATAGGGAAGCTTCAATTACAAAATAAGGTTAATTAATACTTACACATCATTAACGAAGGTGCTAAAACAGATAAATATTTTCTTTATCTATTAGGACGCCACCTTCCCTATCCTCGTTAAAGATAACCTCTATTTTATAAGCATAAGGGAGATTATACTAGGTACGGAAACTATATAAGCAAAGTCCCAGATCTATACCGACTAGCTATCTAGGGGTAAGGAGGCTCGCTTTCAACTAATAATATTACCTCTCAATTAAATCCAACCCCTAAGTAATTAACTCCAACAGAGTCGTACCTATCCACTTATTACTAACCTATCTAACCCGTACTCGTAAAATAACAATACTCATCTTTTCCTTAAATTATATATAATAATTAAATATATAAATACTATAAACCTTATAAAACTCAACAAGACCGCTATAAGCCGAGAGGTTAAATAATTTTAATAAACTATTATTAAATTTATTTAACGATATAATATATTAACTATAATTAAAGTAATTCCTTATATAGCAGCCTACCTACTCTATTTTATAAAATATAAAATTAAATCTAATCTATTTAATAACAACCTCCTAAACTCCTTCAAATTAATAATAAAATAAAAACCAAGCAACTTCAAAATCCAATACAAAAGTAGCGTAAATTATATACTACTATAAATAAAATAGCGCTAATCTAATATTAGTAACCTTAGTAGGCAGCGGTCCCAAGCCAGACCAAATTCACTTGGCCGTCCTAACCTTTTAATATAATTAATATAGTCGCTAAAAGTTATTTATATTTCCCTGATCAACTATAATTACCTCGCTTCTAAGAGACCGCAATAATAATAAAATAGAACTCTCATTACTAGACTCTCCGCTATTAGACCCCTCACTATTACTCTCGTCTCTATAATTAATAGCGTTATTATTAACAATAATATCCTCTCCATCACTAACAACCATAAAGACCCAATCCTTTTTAAAATAATCAATAATATTACAATTAATATACTATATACAATACTACCGCTAAGCATCTAGGAAGATACAATTAATCGTACTAATTAATTAGGAATCTCTATTAATAATAATAACCCATAGCGGTAGGATTCCTAACTCTTTAATTACCTTCTCAACTCTCTTAATTAATTATATAAATCCCTCCTCCCTCTCGTTATTAATTACTACTTAAAAAACTAGTATAGAGGTCTTTTTAGGTATAAATATTACCCCCTATACTAATAGGGCATAGTAACGGTTAGTCTTATATATAATATTAAATAAAAGAATATAAAAGTATCGCTACTATATCCTCTTTTAAACGCGGGTTAATTAAAGAGCATAACGTAATATAATTCCCTCCTCCTCCTCCTCCTCCTCCTCGTCTCTATAGTAATCAAACTCAAATCTCTTAAACCTAATCGACTTATCGTTGTTAAACTTCTTAATAAAGGTTTAAATATTTATATAGCCGTCCCTATTATTAGAATGCAATATCTATCGTATATTCTCGAAATCTTTATACGTAAAATAAAACTTAAGATAGCACTATCGAATAATAGTATAAATAAACTGTATTAATAAATCCTATTAATTAAAGAAACCTATAATATCCTCCTACGTATCAATATTAGTACCCTAACTTTAAAATATTATATATACAAAAAGATTTTAAGAAGGGGGATGCCTACAATATATACAATCCATTGCTCTAATAATCTAATTATAATTATTAATTTTCAAATTTAATAATACTATCCGGAAGGGATAGTCTCGTATAATCTTTCGTAATATAATCTATTACTTTTTATAGGGGTTATTGTTAGGGTATTCTTAATATTCGGTATAGTTATATCGTAGGACTATCTTCTATCGCTTACTATATATCTCTAACACTTATAAATTATTACATTTATAACTTCGCTAAATTAAAACGCTAAAACAGTAATAATAATACATTTTAATAATTTTAAAATAAGTATAATCTAATAAGGATTAGAGAGGGAGGTTAAAAATAGGGTCGTTAATAAGCACTTCCTATTCAATATCGTAGTCGAAAGATACCTCACTAGCGAAGGTAATTAATAAAATATTTAAATCATAATAATAATAATATTAAATAGTTAATTACATAGTCGGTTATATAATCGGAAGGATATTACCGGGTATCTAAATTAATTATTAACAATTAAAAATAATTAAAATCAATTAATTTAAATAAAATTCCATACGTTAGGGTATTAAGCATCGTAGGTACTAGTATATAATATATAAATAACTACAAATAAGTAGTATAAAAGGGGTACAAATAGCCGTATAAAAAAGAGTGAAAAAAACAATTAAGTTAAGGGGATGTTACATGCATTTGAAAGACGAAATTTAGCGGGTAAAAACGGGGTTTTCAATGTCAAGTGTCATCCAACTGCAGTCCCGCTTTTCTAGGTAGGACTGGGTACCTGTAGGGAATGGGGTGGGTGCGGGGAGGGATTCCCTATTATATTGTCTTTGATTGTTGAGGGAAGGAGTAATTGAGATTGGTTGGCCGTTACGACGACGATGACGATGATTATACCGAATTTGGTTAATTTGGCGGTGGGCTACAGTAGTATTAGGAGAGTCCTGTGCAAAGTCTAATTAACTATATTTATAATTTGAGGTATTTATTATGTTAGATATATTTGTGAATTCTTGCCTGTAGGAAAAAAAGGAGTGATTGAACGTATAATGCGGTTTCGATCTTAAAGCTATCTATTAATATTAATGATTCTGCGAGATTGTTGTGCTGGCTGAGGTAGTGCCGGTGTTGGGACTAGTGCTGGGGCAAGTGCCGGGGCCGGGGCTAGGGGTCTTTGACGCGGCATTGGCATAGGGGGTGCCATCGGTGGTAGTGCTATCGGTGGTGCTATAGGCAGAAATGGCTGAGGTTCTCGCTCTGGCAGCTCATCGAATTCTTCCTCACGATATTCATATTGAGGTCGAGGTAGTAACGGTCTCAATTGGGGAGGAGTTGGCGGTTGTTGTACTGGTTGTTGTAGCGGTTGTTGTACCGGTCGCTGTGCCGGTTGTGGTCGGTTGGGAGGAGGGGATAGCTCGGTAGCATCTCTCTTTTTGCGGCGAGTAGCCTGTTGATGATGGAATGAATGAATGAATGAATGAATGAATGCATTTTTCGGCTAAGTTCTACCTATAACTAGATAATGGGCCGTGCCCGCGACGGTGACTGGGCATAGGTACGTAAATACGGGGAAAAAGCCTCGTAAGCCAGGTTCTCTGGCCGTGGGCTGGAAAAACCCTATTCCTTCCAAAGTGTTACCACTTTATCCTATTCCAGGCCCCCTGACCCCGGCAAGCCGAACACTTCCGCGTATGGCAGTGGTTCGTCGTCCGGGTCCGGTGTTTCTGTTCGGGCAACCCTCACCCCCTGGTACCCTCCTCCTCTTAGCACCTGAATGTGTGTGTATCCCTCGTTCTTTAGGTTCTGGACCCTTGCGAGGAAAGTGGCGTAGCTTGTGCCGAAGGCTTTCGGCGAGTCCTCTGCCGCGTACGGATTGCGGTAGGTGACTATTGGGCAGAGATGATGGAATGTTAGTTGTTCAATGGGCCAGCCAACCGATGCTGCCCGAGTCGCACCCGCAACCCCCCGCGGCTCGGATCGTGGTATTACCTATTGCTGGGCATCCTATTCACCCGCAGGTGGTGGGACGATGCGGCGTCCTGGGATTCTATTGGTAGGATTTACGTATTTTGAAGGATTTACTGTTAAGCGGACAACACCGGTTGGCTAACAAAGGGAACGCTAGGGACAGTAATAAATGACCTGATGGATATTTACCTCCGTTTGTTTGTTACGGTATTCTCTGTAATTCTACACAAACTTGGTAGGATCTCGCTTATTAGCAAACTCGGGGTTGGACTTGTATTAATAATATGTTTTGCAATATCTGGTAGGTACATTTATAATAATGAAAGGAAAGAAACCCCTAGAAAGAAAGAAACTTTTAGATAGAAGGAAATATTGAGAATAGAAACCCCTAGATAGAAAAGAAAATCTTCCGTACTTACGATAATAGGTTAGTAATAATAAGTAAATAAATAAGAAGGGGAGAACTAACTTCGTTTAATAGACGGGATTTAGAAAGTTGGGATCTATATCTACTATTGAATTTAAGGTAATACCTAGTTGTAGGTTTTTATTGCCTTTCTTTCGAGGGTAGAGTTGTAGATTAGTAATTAGTAGAATAGTCTATCTAGTAGTTTATACATATATTGAAATAATCTGGTCGTTTTAGAATTTAAAAATGTAATAATTTATTTCGTTATAAATATAAATTTCGATTAGTTCTAGAGTAATTGGTTTATTATTAGCTTTAATAGTCTTACGAGGGTTAATACTACGAATTTAAGGTAAAGTATTGATTTAGAAAATTGGGATTTATATTTATTATTAAATTTAGGGTAATACCTAATTGTGGGTTTTCGTTACCTTTCTTTCGAGGGTAGAATTTTAGATTGGTAATAAGTAGAGGAGAGAATTTGAAATTCGAGATTGGGGGGAGGTGAGATTCTTATACCCTACGCGGGTTGTTTTACCGGTCGGTCGCTAGTCGGTTCGCCTGCCGGTTATTTACTGGAATAGAAAATTTCTACCTTTGGGTAATACGCGTTTATAAACGTTAGAATAATTTATTTAGCGGTAAGTAAAGTAATAAAGATTGAATTATAGTAATAATATTGGTATTGGGTAGAAGGTTAAAAGTCGAAGTTGAATAGCGGGAGGTTTTAGTTGTAATGTGAACGGTTGGCTAGTGTGGGTGTTAGGTATTTGTATATGTGTTAGCCGTCTGCTAGACCCGTTAGCTAATCCGTTATTTAGAAATAGAAAGACCTAGTACATCCTATCGAAGACTGTTAGAAATACTATGAGCGAGTTAATTAATTAAAAATAGGCTTAGTAAGATGCCTTAATTAATTGTAGGACCGTGCTACGTATTTGACTAATTAGAGTATAGAGAAGTTTTGTACGGGAGTCTGGTTATAAACGAACCGTCCCTCAACAGTCCGTTCGGTGGATGCGGGTTATGAATGAGCCCCTTTGAGATAGTGAATGTCATCCACCTCTGAATAGTTGAAGTACGTTTCAATAAAGGAGGCGGTTAAGTATATAAAGAGGATAGCCTACGCTTAGAGATTAAGAAGGATACTAATAAGGAGATAGAAATTGGACGAAGTAAAATAGAAATAGAATAAGGCTATATAGTTCGTGTAAATGAAGAAATAGCGTATATTTATAAAAAATATATCGAGAGATTCGAAAAGGCTATAAATATTAGAATAATAGGGAAGGATTCGTAATTACTTACTGTTAGAATTACTTAAAATACTAGTGCTATACTGTAAAGGAGATAATAAAGAGTTAAAAAATTATAAGGATAAGGTTGAAGTTTTAGCGGAGAGGTTCTTCCTAGCGGTCGATATGTTAATAGGCTACTTACTGGATTGGTATATAGAAAGGGAGTCTTAATTAATAATAAATTATATAATTAGTACCGATGATGTAATAAGAACGCTACGGTGTATAATATTTAATAAGGTATTAGGAAGTAATTAAATTTCTAATAAACTTTTTAAAACGTGCGGGCGGAAGTTAGTAGAAGTATTAACCGTAGTAATAACGGGGAGTTTTATATTTGGGTTATTTCTAGTGTAATAGCGATATACTAAAATAATAATCCTAAAAAACCCTGGTAAAATAGTAGTACAATAAAAGACCGTAAGTGTATAAAGGCTTATTGTACTACTAAATTATATAGGGAAGGTATTAGAAATTATATTTATAGAACGGTTCGTATTTATAATGTAAGAATATAGGCTCCTACCCGAGCGTTAGACAGGGAACCGGAAAGGAAGGTTAATAGAATTCGTAATAAAAGTACTAATAGAAATAGTATATATAGTTTAAGAATTAGGAATAATTATATCGCTACTCCTCTTCGACCTTAAGGGGGTATTTAATTATGTAAATTATAGGTAGCTCCTATATACGTTCTAAGAAAAAGGATTATTAATATAATTCTTATACTAAATTATAAATTTCTTATTGGATAGAATAAATAGCTTCTATTTCGACAGGGTAATATTAAAGGAATTCTATATAGCCGTAGGGGTATTATAAGAATCCCCCCTCTCCCTAATTCATTCCTCCTCTTTACAACTATATTATATAAAGTATTAAAAAGGTTTAAAGGTATTATAATAATAGGATTTATTAATAATACTAATATCCTTACCTTCTTAAAATTAATATAGAAGAATTATAAAAAACTTGTAGCTATATAGAAGATCTACTATAAATAGGTAATAAAAAGAAGAATAAAATTTGAAGTGGTAAAGTCGGAACTTATTTATTTTATATAAATACGTTAATTAAAGTAGGAAATAGTAGACCTAAGAGGCTACTAATTAATACCTATAGAATCGGTAAGGTTTTTAAATATATAGTTCAACCGCAAATTTACTTATAAAATATACCTCCAAATAATAAAGAAGAAAATATTAACGTAAGTATTCGCCCTAATATAGATTGCAGTAAAGACGTAAGGATATAGCCTCGTATACGTATAAGAAGTTTATACTAAAGTAATCCGAATAGCGGTAACCTATAGCGCATTAACCTACTATACCCTAATAAAACCGATAGGAGAATTATATAAATTAGTACGCAATTTAATTATAATCTAAAATAAATGCCTATAGGTAATATCCGGTACGTACAAAATAATATTAACCTTTAGCCTCGAAATAGAAACTTTTTACCCTCCCTTCGACCTTTATTTTAATAAAAGAGTCCGGATATTTAAAGAACATTTAGCGTACTCCCTAGTAATAGCCTTCGTACGGGGTACACTAATATAAATAGCAGCCGAAATCCGGAGTTAAAGAGTATAATAATTATTATATCTCGCGCTGATTAATAGTAGAGTAAAAGCCGAATAGACCGTATAATAAACCCTAATTAAAAATATATTAGTATTATAAGGGGAGGTAAAAGAATTTATACCGGAGGAGAGGGAAAAGTAGTTAGAAGAGGCGATAAGAAGAAAATAAATAGTAAAATAGTATATAAAGGTCGCCGAAATAATAAGGAAGAGGAAACGCTTAAATATTATAAAAGTGCGTACATAATTTAATAGAATTATACTATAGTACTACATATAGCCTAATACGGACGAAAATCCTATGTTATATTATTTATTGAAGGTTATAAACTCCCTGCTAATATAAGTAAAAACCGGGAAAATAGGCCTATAGGTATTTCTATTCGAAAGAAAAGTTCTAGAAGTAATAATACTATACTACTAATACAATATAAAGAAAAAAACATTCGAACACCTTATACTAAAATACCGGGAAATGGAATAGACCTAATTATAAAGCAAAAACACCTTTATATAACCAATCAATAAAGAAGAACTCTATAACAAACTCGAAATAAATATTAAATAAATTCTACAATAGGCCCTACGGTTAGGAAGGTTATAAAAATATGAATTAATAACTAAAATTAAAAGAGCAAGGGAAATAGAAAAAATATTAGGAAGTATAAATTAAAATAATTTAATTATATATATAAGAAACCCAGCCGAAATTAAAAACTACTTAACCGGAACGGGATTGCATCGGAACCGATAGGAAACCGACTAAATATATACTAAATATAAAAATAATAACCCCAGAAAAAAATTAAATTATACGTAAACCGGAAGGATAATAGGGTACTAACTACTCCGCATTACCGACGACCAACACTATATTAGCATTATCGCTAACTTTACCCTCCTTACTAGAAAGTTTATCCTTTATACTAAAATTCCCCTTGTCGGCCTTAGGAGGAATGTTATTAAATACTATCTTTATATTGTAATAAGGCCGAATAAAAATAGTATCGTCGACCGAACCTATACTCAAAATACAATTATAAATATTATAAATAATCTACTTAATACCAAAAAATTTTATAAAAGGAATTAGTAATAGGGCCAATACAAAGATATTGTAAAATACTTATAATAGAAAGGTAATTATTAAAATTATTCTATTTAGTACGGATTGTTATTATACCCTTACTAATACGTTTAATATTAATAATAATTAAATTAACCTTATTAGAAAGAGTACGGACAATTTCCTTAACCCTTATAATATAAAGACGAATTATAATAATATCGTTGCGGAGTAGAGTAAAATCTGTAGAAGTATCGATAGGAATGTAGATAAACTTCCTCTTCTTTAATAGAAATTTAATTACTGTAATAAAATCTAAGGCCGGATAATTGCCGATAAATGAAGGATTAGTACTAATACAGTCCGCTAAAATTTATATAATAAGTATAACCTATACCCTACCAACGAAAATTTTAAAATTACCTTAGGCCGTATTATAATTATGTAATACTATAGCGGACTTAATAAAAATATATATTAGAGGAGTAAATTCAACGTTCGAATACTCCTTAATCCTCTTTTACAACCAATATTTACAATAAAGGACATTAGGGCGAATTACTTTAA